TGTTATATGTAATTGCTGTAACACGCAGGTCTCCGGCGCTTCAGCGAATCCCACAGATTCCCCAGAGAGCCGTGAACAAGTGAGCAAGACTTGAGGTCAGACTAGAGACTCGACAGACTCTGACTGCGTCCAGGACAGCAGAACTAGAGCAGGAGGATGAATGAGACGCAGATGAAGCCTCACAGAAGCTGTTCTGGGTCACACCTTTAATCACTAATGAGAATTACTGAATGACATGAAAAGGTTGAGCACCTCACAGATCACCCAGACGTCAGCGCACTAGTGATGAATGCTGACTGCTTCATTAGATCAGATGCAGACGTTCAGATAGAGATTCCTCACAAGTACAGGAACACAAACACTTCAAGCACATGTCGAGGAGATCAGATGCACCTTCTTCACACAGGTGGAAAAATCCCTCAGATACACATTAAAGAAGGGACCGGGCTGTTTGATAAATGTTAACAAAATTAAAACCAAAACTGAATGAAAACCTTATTGTTAAATACTCTAAGTATAAAAACTAACATTACTGAAATGTGAAAACTGAAGCTATGAAACCTACACTAAATTGAAAGGATACATGAATATATGTGTATATATAGTTTTTAAAGTCTTTTCTGCTCAGCAAGGCTGCATTTATTTGAACAAAAATACAGTATAAATTAATAAATATTATTAGAATCTATAATAGCTGCTTTCTATGTGAATATCTGTTAAGCTGTAATTTATTTCTGTGATGCGCAGCTGTATTTTCAGCATCATTGCTCCAGTCTTCAGTGTCACATGATCTTCAGAAATCATTCTAATATGCTGATTTGCTGCTCAACAAACATTTCTGATTATTATCAATGTTGAAAACAGTCGTGCTGCACAATATTTTTGTGTAAACTGTGATGCATTTTATTTTTCAGGATTCACAGATGAACAGAAAGTTCAGAAGAGCAGCATTTATTTGAAATAGAAATTTTGTGTAACATTATAAATGTCTTAATTGTCACTTTTGATACATTTAATGTATCCTTGATGAATAAAACTATTAACTTCTCTAAAAAATCTTACTTACCTTAAACTTTTGAATGGTAGTGTGTGATGGTTTCCACAAAAATATTGTGCAGCACGACTGTTTTCAACAT